CTGCGCTTACGACAGTATGTGCCGAACACTCCGCGCTGAAGTGTCTGAGGTTTGTCCGTCCCCAGCACCGTTGCATGTACAGTGCAGTCTTGTGTGAATTTGTGGGAATGATTGAGGCGAGTCCAAATATCTAACTACCCCGCTGTGTGTGTCTGCTAAGATGATTTGGCATCAAATGTCCCTCGTTTACTAATGATAGAGGCCTCTCAAAAGCGCGGCGGTGCTGCTTGATGTGAAACCCGTTCTATCCAGAAGTTTCGCCAGCACCCAAGACAAGTATAGTGATGGATTAATGGGATTGCGTTTCCCATTTCCCAGGCGCTTCACATGCTATGACCATTAGTCCTTATGTGTAGTTCATGTTTTATAAAGGAAAATACCAGTATTCTTCCTCCGCTAGTTGATAAGATCCGGCGCTGAACAACACGTAGACTTTTGGGGTTTTCCCGAAAGAGATATCTCTCACCAGTGCGGCACGGCACCAGCCGGGGGAAGGTCTAAGATGTCGACCGGTCTCCCGGCATGTGCGATAGTGTAGGCCATGTAAGTGCAAATGTACATAAGGGGGCGAGAATGGAAGAAGGAAGCGCGCGGCGATGGTGTAACGGTTAGCGTTTCGGACTGTTGTACCCCAATTGGCGGATTCAAACCAGATTGAAACCGTGGATTTTTAAGGGCGAAAAAAATCCTTCGTACGCCTTCCTTCGGAGGGGAAGTAAAGCAGCCTGTCCCATGTTAGTAGATTTACTTGCATGTAAAAGATCCTCAAGCCTAAATGACGCCTCTGAGCTAAATTCAAATCGCCTGTCTCTCGCCCAAGAAATACCTCCTTTCTCTGCTCGTTGGTGAAAGGAGCGTAGCGAAATTTGCGTGCTCAGACGGAAGAGTAGCCACGTTAAATTAATTCAATTCAAGAAAGAGGAAGTACAAATCGCGCGCGGACCTTGGCCCGCTTGTTAGGGTACTATCCCGGTATTCGCCGGGTGTTGATCCGAAGACTACCGGATGAGAGCAGCCGACGGCTAGAATTCTCCTCCAGACAGTAGCTGAATTCGACCTACTCATAGCTAAGTAGTAGTGTTAAGTCCTGCCACCATCGGGCCCTCCGGTCAGAGGCATAAGTTGAATGATGTCATTTCACAGTTGCCCATGCTTTTTCTTATTAATGGCTACTTGAATATCCCCAATACCGCCTGGCGTAGCACAAGGTCTTGCTCAAGATGTTCTATTGTTAAAAAAATTAATAACCAGCAGGACCTAATTCTTGTAAATTCTGAAAATTACACTCTTTTCTTTCGTGGCGTCGAACACTTTCTCGTCCATCAATCTGTAGTCGCCTGACCTGTTGCCTCTCGTCGCCCATTTTCCCGTCACTCGTTGCATATCTGTTGACCGCCGTTTGCGATGGTGCCCGACCCTGACGAAGTGGATACTAGTGGTACGACAAGATCACATTCTTTCTCGCATTATTTCTAACTTTTGCATTTTTTTTTTTAAATTACGAGATTTCAAAATGAGACTTGCGGCAATTTGTTTCACGCTACGTTGACGAGAAATTAATCCAAAAAAGTATTTGCGGGAATATTTTGAAAGTGTTGTGGCTCCATGTAAAGTACGGAGAAAAATCAAAATATCCCTTTCAAACGCGCAGGGTCTCCAGTTCGTGCAGGTCTGTCGGAGAATCTCACTTTTTCAGAAAATCGTGTGAACGGTTAAGGCGTTTGCGTCACAGACTGACGACTGATAGGCCGACAGACAAACGGACAAACTCTCATACAGTACTCATATCATCTCATACGTACTTTTTCGTCCGTATTTTCACGCATAATTACGCGAAACGTAATCAAATTTTCGAAAAATTATACATGCTTTTATTTCAAAATATATCTTTATGGAATAAATTTCGTTAAGGGAAAAATCTCTATCTTCAGAATTGTAGTTGTAGGAAGACGCCATAAATCAAAGTTTTGAACGAAAATTAGACCTGCATTATTCTCGTACGTGTCCTTCATACTATCCAACAACAAACTTTAATTAAAATCGATGGTGCCATTTTTTTAAAATTTGGAAAATATACCTAGAGCTTTATGTAAAGTACCAGTCCCCTAAACAATTAAAATATCGATTTTAAATTCAAGGGACCGCGACATCATGCAGATCGATTGAGGAATATAAATTGTGGAGAAAATCACCTGAACGGTTTTGCCGCCAGCATTGTTGACGGACAGACATTTTGCCGTCTTTCGATTATTCGCTATCAAGGGCATACAAAAAAATGTATTCTGGCTACATCACGTGTTAGAGGATTTCATTTTCTCAATTTAGCAACTGGATTTATCCACGTTTTACGTATCAGGACCCGACAATAGTAGAAAATTTGCCGTTTTTTCGCGCAACGTTATACAAATGTCTCTCTACTGCGTAACCGTGGCGAAGAAGTAAAAAAAGAACGTATTTTTTGACCCTTCATTTGCCCCTCCGGGCCCACTGCACGAGAACCCCTCAACAACGGCCGGCAGCAGCAAGTGCGCCGGGGGTGCAGCAGCGCGGCTGAGCATCGAGCGTCTGCGAGCGCGGGGAGGGGAGGGGAGAGAAAAAGAAAGCGGGGGAGAGGGAAAGAGAGAGCGGGTGGGGAGGGGGGAGGGGCTGTTGTCGCTGTGACTCACTTCGCACGCGGTGACTCACGCACGCAACTCGGCGGGTCTCCCCACCCCGGTTCCACCCTCGCCGCCTCTTTGCCGGCGTGGCTGCGCCGCGTATCGCGTGCGCCGTGTATTTTCTGCAAACCCTCTTCCCCTCCCCTCCCCTCCCCCCTCTAGCGCTGCTTCTCGCTTTAGCGCGGGGCGCAGTATGGATAAATGCGGGTAATGCGAGTCGGACGTGGAAGGTTTTAACTGACGGCGGCGCGAATGGCGGGAAATAGTTTCAACCGGCGACGAAATAATTCGCGGGTTCAGTCGGATAACGGATAACGTAGCGGCCTGATGTTCGAAAGTGTGCGGGTTCAAACCAGATCGAAGCCGCGGTTTGCGTAAAAATAATCGTACGCCTTCCTACGGAGGGGAAGTAAAGCCGGCTGTCTCATGTTGTAGATTTATTGAATGTAAAAGATCTTCATGCCTAAATGAAGCTTCTGAGCCAAATTGAAATTGCCGGCTTCGTCGCCCGAGTGATACCTTTCGTTACCGCTAGATGTTGAAAGTTTCGTGGTCTGATGGAAGAGTTACGTCCCTTACCTTGGCACCCTTACCTCTACTTTTGCCATTACAAGTAAAAGGAGAGTTCAACAAAACGTGCGCATAGTGAAGCTGCATTTACGTCCAGAAGCAAAACAAGGGGCCATCTCAGCATTTGCTCAATGGATCAGGGAAATTGGACAACAACCTGATCGAGACGAGTGTTGAGACACTGCCAGTCCCTATATCAGCTCCTTAGGACGCTGTTTGCAACACGGAATAGAATTTATAATTAATCGACTAATAACATCTGTAGTTGTGAATTAATGGAATAATGATGATAATATCAACATGTAGATACACGTGTCCTAGGGTGGCTCATGGGCAGTGAATCAGCTTCCCGTGGTGCGATCCCGAGTTCGATTATCGGCCGGGACAAAACTAGAATTGTAGCGTGGCAGTTTCTGTAGCGGTGTAGTGAAGTAAAGCTCAGGCAGGCGGAGTTTGCTAGTTACGGTGAAGGGAATACGTGATGTTCCCCATGTTTCTCTTACTTCCATGCGTGGGAATTAACTAACCCCAGGGGACTCCGTAAGGTAGCCGACGAAGTCGCACAATCGACACAAAGTACCAAATACACAAAGAGATATACCCTCTCATTTGATGAGCATCTTTTTCTTCTCACTACCATGGAACCTATTTTGTTTGTCTACAAAAGAGTTGTAGAGCTGTGCATTATTTGGATAATAAATCGAAATAATCCCCTGAAAACGAAAGCATGCGTCTTCTGATACTGAGAAAAAAGATTGTCATACATTTCACACAGTGACATCAAAATTAAGTCGGTAATCACATCAAGATTATATTTAGAATTACAATCTTCCGCACTATTTATAAAACCTATTGAAAATCATTACATGACTTAGGTGTTTTTCTTAATTAACGATTTTCAAGTCACTCCCACTTTTTTCTTGTCAACACTACTAGTAAATTTTGACATTGTTCCCTGCATATTTTCCAACTTTTGTAATTTAAAATACTGAGTTATGAGATTTTGCAGTGGTCAAATAATATTTTTAGACAGACAAAGTGAAAGCGGTTGCTTTTAGGGCATGCGCATCGTGCTTAAAGTACTTTTAACACTAGCTCAAATGTTTAAATAAAACTGTGAGTGCAAGAAAGAAAACAAAATACTTCCATCTGAACAGCTACAACTGATCTTAATGCAACATGCTACCCTATTAAGTGATTTGTAAAATAGAATTAAAATGAAAGAAACGTCAGTGTAGTGTCAAAAAATGTAAATAATACAAGTGATAAAAGCTATTTTTTTTTACTTGAAGGATAGCGTCAATCGGCCTCTTAGCGAAGTGTCTCCAATATTTCTTACTCGCGAAATACAAAGTCACTTTTACAATTCGTATCATAACTATTCTACAATTGATCAGAGAACTCGACAGAAACATGAAAGTTGTTAGCCTCTGGAATTATAATGTAAACACAACTTTTATTCGACTTAGGAAAATTTTAAAATGTGCGAACTTTGCGGTTTTGTACATGTTATGTGAGAACGAATTGAAAAAGTATCCTGAATAGTTAAAATATCTCATGAACTAAATACATTACTGATTTTTCAGAAGGCATTGGAATGGAAACAATTGAGAGAATAATTCAGTCAAAATAAGTTGTTTGTAAACAAAACTATTAATTACTCATTTGATTAGTCTTTTATGAATCGTGGAATAATTGTATATTGTGGCAGTATTTCAATAGATATGAAAGCGCCTGAAGCTCGCATAAAATTGTAGAAAGTAGAATACAGACATGCGAGTTAGTGAACCTGATCAGAACAAGGTATTTGTGAGGTAAGTAGTATTCAAAGCCACGCAATCGTTGGGTTATTTGTGCTGTCAATGTATTAAAGGCCCCTTGTTTTACATCAATTAATTCGCTAACTGCTAATCGCATGTACATTGTATAGCATACACAAAAGGCGTTAAATGGAAATATTTTGCAAACATTTTATTAATAATGTTTGGAAAATGATTATTCGAGTTCAGTGCGTTTATTTTTATCGGAGAATTTTAAAAAAGCATTATAAAGCACTACCGGCATGCAGCAACCAATATGCTGCTGAACAAAACCACACAAAATGATTGTCCCAAAAGTAGCCTGCTCACTTCTCAAGAACCACAAAAAAACTCTTGAATAACACGACAATAAATGAAATATTAACAAAAAACAGTCTTCTTCAATACTGCAATAACAAATACAAGAGTGATTTACATTTTATTTTTGAAATTCATTTTAAAATCAGTTATGAAACTCTGTGACGTTCAATGGGGCGAAGTGTATTTTATGTACTGTTTATTGTGTTCTGGAATCCCAACCGATATACGAATTATATTACGAATACGAGCATTTTTGTCGAGAAATGTTAAATATTTGCTTCTTTACAGTACAAACGATTTGTTTAGACAAATAAGCCACTAGTTTTGACTATTATTTCTCATTGTTCCTTTCGCTAAGAATCCGCTTAATGACACGAAAACATGGAGGTGGTTTACTGTAATAACAATTACTCGCAGGACTAGAAAACGTGCACAGTTAATCAAGCTACATTTATTTTTAAAAGGAAGGCAAGGGGTCATCCGGGCATTCGCTCAAAGGATCGGAGATTCTGGGCGAGAAACCTGATCGAAATTTCTAGTGGCAGAGTTTTCGACATTAGTTTGTCAGCTCGGTCGAATTCAATCGCTGTCTAGAGGAGAACTCTAGCGGCCGGCTGCTCTGATCGATAGTTTTTCGTGGTTTCTCCGATCAACACCAGACGAATGCCTGAGCAGAACCGTAATAAACGGGCCACGGACTGCGCGCGATCTTTCCTTCCTCTTCCTTGCCCCCATCCTCGCCCCTTACACCCACTTGCACCAACATGCACTACACTGCCACACATGCCGGAAGACTAGTTGGGGGCTTAAGGCTTGTTCCGACTGGAGCGGTGTTCCTGTGACTGGAGATACCTGGTTGAGGAAAACCTCACTAGCCGACGATTGGTCGGCGCCGAATCTCAGCAACAATTTTAGTAATGTGACTACCAAAGTTTACATTTTGTATACAAAATAAATACTACACAATAATAATAATAATAATAATAATTATTATTATTATTATCATTATTATTATTCTTTATTGCACAATTTGTAAACTGTTAACATGAAAAATGTTGTAAAATCTTGAAGAAGGTCCGTTACGGGGCGAGGCAAAATATACCGTAAGCAATCTGAATTGAACTTAAAAATGTATGAATTGAAATTAAAAAAAAAGGAAGTAGACAATGTACGTCGGCAGGAATAAAGTGTTTGTACACGCTTCACTAGAAGGGGAAAAGAAAAAAAAAACACAGGACAGAAATAGCTACCTTAAAATATAAGGATATAAAAACCCTGCCTCAGTTGGCTAACTCCTCATCCAAGAACCTTCGGCCTCGGTACAAAAATTAATATTTGTTACATAAGCAATGGAACAAATGAGAAGATAGCGCGACATTCTCTTGTTTTGGTGTTATATTTCTTGACAGTAAAAGTTGTAAAATGCCAAGGAATTCTTCAGTTGTTGCTTTTGTTTAACTGTATCGCATTTCCTCTGAAGATTATAAGAGTTACGAATTAATTTAGGAACATTATACGCTGTTTAGTTTAGCTCCGCGCGTTAATTAAATTTTACTCCCCGTTCTCTTTCATGTTTAGATTCTTAAGCTGTGCCTCTTCGTTAAAAAAACAGAATGTTTTAATGTTTCTCATCTTAGGAGAAAATTTTAAACCAATGATATTGTGTGGATGTGCTTGAGTTTGTGAAGTAGCAAATAGAAGAGAAGCTACTCGTCCAATTTTACCGGGTGATTTGCTATAATATGTACACTTTGAGCTGTATAATGTGCATTTCGACTTATTTTCTTTTAGCGTACGAACGTAATATTTTCTTTTATGTAAGCCCTGAAATCGTTTCCGTAATTTTTTCTCACATTTCTTCAGTTAAATGTGTACTAAAGCAAGTGGCTTAAAGTATAATCTGGAACAGCAGTGTTGCAGTTTTACAGTAGAAATACATCTGAAGTACAGCTAATGTAGTAGTGCTTTAAGGAAAGTATTTCTTGACGTGTCTAATAGAGTTAGGAGAGAAAAAAGAGAATCATTCAACTCGAATATCATGAATCAAATGTAAAATAGTAAATGTAGTTAGAAAACACGTGGTAAAAACGTAGTTGCAGATATTGTACTATATTCTGCGATTTGTTGATTGATGTTTGATGTTGATTTTGATGTTTTGAATGATTGATGATGATTGAATTTGATGTTTTCTGCGAATGGTTGATTGATTAATGATTTCGAGCATGTCAATTGCTAAGGTCATTTGTGTAGTGTATGATTTTATCGCGGGAGGTCGCTGTAAACTTTCCCCGCTGTATGGCGAGATCGGGCGCCGACCTACAGTCGGCTAGCGGGGTTTTCCCCAACCAGATATCTCCCACCAGCGAGGCACCGCAGCAGTCGGGACAAGCTATAAGCCCCCGACCGGTCTCTCGGCATGTGTGCATGTGTAGTGCGCGTTAGTGTAGATGTGTGTGTGTGTGTGTGTGTGTGTGTGTAAGGGGTGAGGATAGGACAAGGGAGATGAAGAAGTATCGCGTGCGGTGCGTGGCCCGTTCGTTAGGCATTCACCTGGCAACTCCGGCATTCACCTGGTGTTGATCTTAACCAAGAGCTCTAAGCTCCCCACCGGTCTCCCGCCTTGTGTGGAGTGTGGTGCATGCTAGTGTAAGGGTTGAGGATAGGACAAGGAAGAGGAAGGAAAGATTGCGCGCGGTCTGTGGCCCGTTGGTTAGGGTTCTGCTCCGGCATTCGTCTGGCGTTGATAGGAGAAACCAGGGAAAACTATTAATCAGAGCAGCCGTTCGCTAGAATTCTCCTGCAGACGGCGACTGATCCGCGGGTGTTGTCGGTATGGCCTTGGCTGCCAGGGAGGTGCCGCGTCCTAGGCACAGGTGCCAACGTTTCCGCCGTCCTTCCTCAGGGCGAAACGATAGCTGCTGCTGCTGACGGAGGTCGTAACATGGTGGCCGAAACGTTGCCACCTGCAGCTATTACTGGCGAGTCCCGGACAGCCTAGTAGACACAGATGGGAACGTTTCGGCCATTGACCTTGCTGAGGGCGGAAGGCAGGTAGATCGCGGTGGCAGGATTTTAGACGCTGCGTCGGGGCCGAGACCAGCGCCCGGCGACTCTTCATCAAAATTGGGGACAAAGCTAGAGGTTGCTACTACAGAATGCGCTAGTGTCGCCTGATGCAGCTGCTGGTAAGGCTCGCCAACTTTCGCACATACAAATTGGTCAAGAAATACGAATACTCTTTGATTATGAGCGATTTCTAAAGTAAATTACCAAAGAAGTTAAATACCATGTGTTTATCTTCTAAAATTCATTTATTCATAATAATACACGCATGAAAGAAAAGGTAGCGCGAACAGCGGTGGGATCTTTTGCATCAAGCGCGTGTGTTTGCGTCTCGAGAACCCGGGACGTTTTAAATAGCGTTGGTAGCAGTTCGTATATCAGTTCGTGTAATAAGGTGATGCTCTAGAGCGCGCCACTGTCACGGTCCCCACCGCGTTATATGGGCCTTAAAGCCTAGCCTACGTATTATGGGAATAAAGGGCATAGACGTAGGCACCCGTGCCTCGGGCGCGGCGGCGGCGTCGTTTCCGGCCCAGCCAAGTGGCTACTACGGAGCCTGCGTCTTGGCACGAGCCGGCAGCACAGGCGCGAAGGCGGGCGACCGCAGCGTGAGTGCCTTTTGGGACGCGCGGGCGGCGTAATCTCGTTTGAGGGCCCTCTCTGGGCCTTTGAGCGCCTCGAGGCGACGCGGTCGCCTTTGGCACTCGCACCTGTCGCCCGCCCGCCCGCAGCGGAGTGGCACTTGCAGGCGCTCTAATGCCAGGCGCCATCAGCCACTCGCCTCTTGTGGCGGAGGCACGCCCGGCGCGGAGCCTCTTTGCGGTGCCTCGGGCGGGGAGGGCGTGGGGTTCGAGTCCCGGCGGTGGCGGGATATTCGACGCGGCTAGGTGGAGTTCAGCCGCTGTCTGGGGGGACAATTCTAGCGGCCGGCTGCTCTGATCGGTGGTTTATCCGATCAATACCTGGCGAATGCCGGAGCAGTACCCTAACAAACGGGCCACGGACCGCGCGCGCGATTTTTCCTTCCCCATACTTGTCCTATTCTAACATGCACTACACCACTATACATGCCGGGAGTCCGTTTGGTACCTTAGAGCTCGTACCGGCTGGGGCGGGGTCCCCCTGGTGGCAGATACGAGGTTGGGGAAAATGTCCGCAAGCCGACGGATAAGTCGGATCTCTTCCGGCGGGAAATATCATCGCCACCGCCTGCGATAGAACATGCACTGCCCTTACAGGCTAATAACCTTATCAGATGATGCGTCCGGAATCATCAATCAAACAAACAGCAATGAAACAAACGTATAATCCGTCTTTAATTTGTATCAGGTGGTGCTAACGGGAACGATAATACGTTAAAGGGGGTCAGTTGTGATGGAAGAGTCAGTTTTATGGTCGAGTGCCGCGTACTACGCGACGACTGATTGGATTAATCAAGATGCCATTGATTACAAAAAATTGAATGAAGTTGATAGCTTTTTTTCTCCTAATTTAAAATTTAGATTAATCACGTGAATGAAAATACAACTTTTGAGCAAAAAAAACTGAGAGTTTGGTTCTGAGAACTTTTTTATACTATTTGGGAAATTCAAAACAGATAATATTACCCAAGACAACGAAGTATAAGTCTAATCTAAATTTGTTTCCAAAAGTTTTGATAATTTTTTGTGTGCCAACTGTCTTTACGTCGTTTATATGTCATTATTTGTGCAAAGGATATTTACTTTTCTTTTCATTATGGAGCGGTCGATGAAGACTATTCCTTTAAAAGGGTCGTTGACAGAAAACAATGTTGAATCCCTCCGTGCTTTATATGGGAGTAAACGCTGTCCATCTGTGAATCACTGTTAGACTCCTTCCTTTCAACCATTCGAGAGAAATCAGCAGTTTGACGCATCTCGATATCCTGTTGTGGAAGTGGTCATTGCTTTTACGAATCTATCCGGACGATTCTAAAAAATAAATCCAAAAAGCCCGTTTTTCTGAACTAAAACGCTTTATGAATGATTGACGCCATCTAAAAAGGTTATTCGATAGTATATAGCTTATTCGATTCTTCATGGTATGACAAATCATGTAGAACAATTAGCCTGATTCTTCTTGGATAATCCGAAAGAAGTTTCGAAAACATGTACTATGATTACTTCTCTGCACTTACGAAAACATCGGTAAGAATCTGTGCATTATCGTACACTCTTTCCGGCATTTGTACGAGATGAATCGTTACATGATTAATTTAATTGACGATAATTGAAGATAATTTTGAACTTATGCAAAACTTACGCAGATTTTTAAACTTATGCAAAATGTATGTCTACTACTATGTGTCTACTACAACAGTCATTCGTAAGATATATATATACACACACGTTTTACGATTCAGGAGGCGGTCGTATCGTATAAGATACGTTCCTCCATATTGCATTTAAAGTCTTCTACAAAAATCAGTTATTCGTATGAGATAATTATATTTTTAAACCGACTTTATTGGTCTTTTAAAGTAAAATTTCAACAAAGTTAATTTTCTGCATTCAGATATATGAAATGACACACAGCGGTTGAACTACAAATTGTAATTACTTGTCCTACTCTTTAGTAACATTTTTTAAGAGCTTCCATAAGTAATAACGAGTGAAAAATTCAATATTGCGCACAATTTTATTTACCCAAATGTCATAATAAAAAACATTTTCTGGTCACGTAAGGTAACTTTTTTTGTATTATTATGTTTCACCTTTATACTGACCCCGGTTTATTACGTAAACCCGCAATGAAATCTTCAGAGCTAAGCGGAAATTCGCTTCAATAAAACGTAAAGAGGGAAAGGCAAACCGGAAACTGAAACTCTTGCACCCTTCTTCCCCGAAATTGGGGTTCTTAATAATGAGGGTGACGCCATTGCCGTCCCTTTGAGCGTGACTTCGTTGCTGCCCTTTGACCTCTGCAATGACGTTCGATCGAGTGTCTTTGTGAAGGGGAAGTGCGTTAAAATGGCTGTGGCACAGCGCTCATTTTGTGTGTGTGTGTGTGTGTGTGTTTTGCATGTGCACAGGAATTCATGGACTCCGGGTCTGCGGAAGGCTACTCGACCATCTGCTTCGGCTTTGGTGGTACACGGGGGTTAGCGTTAGGGCTGTTGTAGTTCAAACGCCGTGGATTTTTAAGGGCCAAAAGATATCTTTCGTTCGCCTTCCTTCGGAGGGGAAGTGAAGCCGGCTCTCCCACGTTGTAGATTTACTTGCATGTAAAAGATCCTCAAGCCTAAATGACGTAGCCTCTGAGCTAAATTCAAAAATCGCGTGTTTCTCGCCCAAGCAATTCCTCCTTCCTCTACTAGTTGGTGAAAGGGGCGTAGCGAAATTTGCGTGGTCAGACGGCAGAGCAGGCCTCATGGCCTGAGTTTCGCCACGTAAAATAAGGCATCAATTCAATTCAATTCGATTCGATTCAAATCAGTTCATAATAGACGGGCCAGAGACTTTCCATCCCATTCCCTGTCCTATCCTCACCCCTAAGATACACTTACATGAATTACACGACCACACTTGTCGGGAGCGTAGAGCCTGCGGTGGTGGGAGATCCCGGTTTGGGGAATCTAATAAGCCGACGTGCAAGACGCACATCGACATCCAGCGAATAAAGTCATCGCCAGCTCACGAGAGAGAAAAAGCATGCACTACACTTAATGAACCAATGGCCTTGGCAGTTGCGTCTTGAAACAATCAACCAACCGTGTCGCGCAGTCCATTTCCTCAGTCGCTGACTCTCTCTCTCTCTCTCTCTCTCTCTCTCTCTCTCTCTCTCTCTCTCTCTCTCTCTCGCTCTCTCTAGCTCTCTCGCCCTCTCTCTCCCGCTCTCTCTTTCTCTTTCTCTCTCTTTCTCTCGCTCTCTCTCGCTCTCTCTCTCTCTCGCTCTCTCTGTCTCTCTCTCTGTCTCTCTCTCTCTCGCTCTCTCTCTCGCTCTCTCTTTCATTCACTCGCTCATCCTGTGTGTGTGTGTGTGTGTGTCCTGTGTGCAGGTGCGGCTGATGGAGCGGCGCCTGGCCTCTGGCGGAAGCGGAGGCGGAAGCGGCGGCGGGGCGCCGGCGGCGTCGGGTAGCAGCGAGTGGAGCGGGGGCGGAGGCGAAGGCGGCGGCGGCCGACGCGACGCCGAGCCTCTTCCCGCGGCGACGCGCCACCGACCACCACCGCCGCACCATCACGCAGCTCGAGACGGCGGTGGAGGAGCAGGTGACTCGCACACGCAGAAGCCTTCTCTTTTTAAATAAATAAATAAATAAATAATAAATAAATAAATAAATAAATAAATAATAAATAAATAAATAAATAAATAAATAAATAAATAATAAATAAATAAATAAATAAAATAAATAAATAAATAAATAAATAAAATAAATAAATAAATAAATAAATAAATAAATAATAAATAATAAATAAATAATAAATAAATAAATAAATAATAAATAAAAATAATAAAAAGAAGTAAAAACTGTATGTGACGTAGAGGGGGATTTTCACGTTTTCTTGACTTACAGAATCCCTTCCCGTCATTTTAACTATAAATAGTTGAAAGATGAGTAAAAGTTTAACATAAATTAATGAAAACAAAATTTTTAAAATCGCAAGATTAGCAATATTTGAAAAATAGTCATTTTCATCAGAAATAAATAAATAAATAAATTAAAAAGGCTGCTCCACTCGTGGCATTAAAACCAGTTTAACTGCATTAAAACCAGTTTAACTGTACAAAATGCCCAAATCGGGACGGTGTATCGCCAAAAGCGTATCGCTTTTTCTATCCGATTTTTCTTACCGCTATCTATCATAAACTGTGTACCTTAGCTGGCGTCAGTATACAGTATCTTAACCGGCATTAGTTTACATTGAACGCTACGTCGATGTCCAATAAACAGCGTTTGTACATAACCAACAAAGCTTTAAGTTATTTCCCTGCTATCCAATCATAAACTGTGACTCGTCTATCTTAGGTGGCGATATACTACAGCGATTGCTGCGACGCGTGTGGTTTTAACATAGCTTTAAGTTATTTTCAATATTTGGCGCATTTTGGTGCTCTGTTGGACGTAATTTAACACACGTGGAATAGTCCTATTAAATGCCACTCGTGCTTTGGAAATTCTCGATAAATTTCACTTTCTCTATCCGATTTTTCTTCCCGCTTCTACCTACTGCCCAATCATAAACTGCGTAACTTACGAGGCGGTATACATCGAACACTATGTCGATGTCCAATAAACGGCGTATGTACATAACCAATGTGACTTGTAGTTATTATCAATATTTGGCGCGTTTCGGAACTCTATTGAACATAGTTTAACACGTGGAATTGTCCTATTAAATACCAGTCCAATTGCCCCGATTCCCACTCCTCGGCCGCGAGTCGGGGATTTATCAACAATTTCCATAGCACTCGTGGTATTGTCTATAATAAACACTAACCAAATTTGATATTTGTGATAAGGGCCATGTGTCGGTCAATACATTTCGTGTTACTATCTTATAATTGCATTCAATTTAAAATAAAAAGTCCTACGCATGGTTTGAACGTGAGTAATCTTCACAGACAACAGACGTTTGGATACACAGGTGGACGTATATATATACGTATATTATATAAAGTAAGATCAAGAATATCAGTTTAATTATTTTATGTATTATTTATTGAATTTTATATTTTGAATATTTATTTTTATTATTATTATTATTTTGATTTGTGGTGGTAATTAGATTTTTATATCTGAAATAGCTGATATGTAGAGTATAACATTGAAAATGTTATGGGGATAATTAATCTTTAGGTAATTATGTGATTAATTGAAACCAAAAAAGAGGTATATTATTGTTAATAATATCATTGAATTATTTATTCCAATTAAGGAAATAATAAGTTGTATAAAAGTGAGCTGCTAACTTTTCTTTTTAGCGGTTTCATTCTTGTGTGTGTGTGTGTGTGTGTGTGTGCGCGCGCGCGTATACGGGGGAAAGTAAAAAATCGCGTCTAAAATCTCGCCGTGTCGTGCGCCGGGTGTTGCAGCGTCAGCTGCGCCTGCAGGACGCGCGCCAGGTGGAGGCGAAGGCGGCGCGCATCAAGCAGTGGGTGGCGCTGAAGCTGCGCGACCTCGAGGCGCAGAACGCCGTGCTGCGCGAGCAGAACGCGCGCTGCGCCGCGCAGCTCGACCTGCTGCGCGCGCACCTGGCCACGCACGCGCAGCAGCAGCACCACCACCACCTGGCGCCGCCGGCGGGCGCCGGCCGCTCCTCCTCCGCCGGGGTGAGTTTCTGCTCTTCCTGCTCTCGCTTTCTTTTGAATTCGAATTATGATTTGTTGGTTGCATGCGACTGTGGCATGCGACTGGCGGTATGTTTTGTGTTGCATGCGACATGTTGACTTTCGGCACGTGATGCGTTGCCTGCGACCTGTAGCATGCGACGTGTTGTGTGCGACTAAAGGCATTCGACTTGTAGCATGCGAGTTTGCGCCATGCAAAGTGCGGCACACCACCTGCGACATAAGGCGCTCCTTGGCGCCTCAAATTGAGATGGGTTGTGGCATGCGATTGTAGTGTGCTACTATTTTCAAGGTGCATGCGACGTGTTGTGTGTGACTTATGACGTTCGACTTTAAGCATGTGAGTTGCGCCGTGTGATGTTGGGCACGTCTTTTGTGGCATGAGGTATGCGACATTTTTCTTGCTACATAGGACATGTGACATCCAACTTGGGCTTGCCACATGTTGCATGCGACATGAGACATGCTACATGAGACAGAACATGAGGCATGCGACACGAGGCTAACGACATGAGGCATGTGACATGCACTGTGAGGCAGGCAATATTAGACAACGTGAAACATGCGACATAAAGCATTCGGCTTGCAACATTACATTTACGACACGAGGCTTGTTACATGTGGCATGGCATTTGGCGTTGGTTACTTCTTCCTAAAACGCTTGTTGACTCATCTGTGAATTTTCATGGCGTGTATTGTAGGGGTCGTTCTTCACAAAGAACGTGTACTCATCTGCGAATTTTATTTGTAGTTGTTTTTCGCATTCGATCCACGATGCTTCTTTTGGCAAAACTGCGTTGGGTTTGTCTTACATAATGCTGCCTCTATGTGACTTCTCTGGAAGTGTTAGTCGCAAGATGCGTGCAGCATGCTACTTTTGACGAAACGTTGGGTAGATCTGAATCCCTGTGACAAAATCTAAAGTTGCTAGATGCATGCTACATACCATATGTGACTACCACCTCCAGATTTAGTCACAGAGAAGCAGCATTATGTGTAGGTCGAACCCAACGTAGATTTGCCAAAATAACAATGTCAGTTAAATGGCGAAGCGTCGTGGGTCGTGAGAATGCAACAGAGTTTACGAAAAAAAGTTGATTCATTAAACGTTTCTAAAAATGCGAGACTTAGTAGTAATAGAAAGTAGGCATGCGACTTAAACTTTATGTAGCATTCGACATGCGACGATTCTTTATGAAACGACATTGATTTCTGTTTCACTAAAGGAAGGTACTCATCTGCAGTAAGTTATAAGTCTTGGTTTGGTCGTCCCTTATTTTCTAAAGTTTTCAGGTCCCTTTTTAAGTTTCTGACAACCACAATTAAAATATATTACAACCAAATTTAGTACATTATTTTAAAAATGACTGATAAATATTTAAGAAAAACTACTCGTCTGCAAGGTTGAGCAGGTGGTGATGACTTGCGACATGAGGCTTGCGATTTGTGCTTTAGACTATTGTGTTCGTTCTTCATAACACACTTCGTTTTCATTTACAAGTTTAAAAGGCAAGGGTTGTTCTTATGGGTCGTTTTTTATGTTACTTCCTTCCTTCACTCTCACTGAAAAGCGTCTGTTCGTTCGCCATAAAAGTAAATATATGAGTTTCTGCGAAAATAAATGATCGGGCGCCAGCACGCAATTTTTTTTACGAATATGGCTTCGTTTATTCTTCATAAAACGGCGCGTGTCGTGTGGCAGTTTGATCGCAAAGCACTGGTCTCTTGCGACATTTGGCATGCGACATACGGGATGCAATATATGATTTGGAATAGGGATGCAGTATATGGCAGGCGGCATGCAAGATGCAGTATATGGCGAAGCGTAACTTGCAATATATGGCTTGCGACGTGGGAGATGCAATACATGCGGCACATAGGATGCACTATATGACTCGCGACATGTTATGGTTACCGAAACAGTGTTGATTCGTTCTTCATAAACGCCGCCTCTCGTGTGCGAGTTAGAATCGCAAAACACTGATCGCATGTGACGATATACGGAATGGGATACATGGTATGCAACATATTATAGTTTGGAGAAACAATCTTGGTTCAGTTTTCGTAAGACGCTGCTTCTCTTTTGTGAGTTTGGAGGGCTATTTTCCGTTATACGTACACCAGTTCACTAGGAGATTTCCCTACCTGTCGCGTCTGCGGGTTTTTTCTCAACCCCCATACGTAGCTAAATTTACCACTAATACTCAATCTAGATTTTGAAACGCCGTAATTTTTGGAGCTCGTCTTCTGAGTCGGTATTGTGTAAGAGGTGGTCCGGCTCCTCTGAGCGACGCAGTTAGCGCCAGTATTCGGACTCAATGCTCGGTGCATCGTAATCAAATCAAAATAACAAACTAATCTCTGGAAGATGGATTGACTCGTGAATCTGTTCATTTTCCCCGCCAAAAGATTACTATTTCCAATAAAGGGAACCGAATCGTTCGGCTAGTGAACTGGTAAACGTCTAACGGAAAAGATCCACGAGTATGACTCCCCATTGCATGCCAAAGGGACGTGTGTTGTGTGTTGTTCGTCGTCGCTGGACGTGTCACTGGGGGTGGAATCTGGAGAATTGCTGTGCTTCTGCGAATATAATCACCTGGCGCTTGTTGCACGTGACAGTAGTGGCATTCGACATTTTTTTACCTAGCACCCTTAGTTCGGTCTTCATACACGCTGGGTTTCGCCTGCGCGGTTCAATGTAGGTGAGCGCGGTTCAATACTTGAGCGTGGGGCATGCAACTTGTGCGATGCAATGTAAGGCGTGCTACGGTTTGACGCAGTAATCGCCGGCGTCGCTAGCCGAATTCGTTTACTACGCTCCGTAGAGTCATGGAGGTTAAGCTAATTCGAGATCTCACGAGTTCCAGGTTGGGTGACCGTCTGGAAACCGCGGATACTAACGGTGCCGAGCCCCTGACCGAAAGGATTGCAGTTTGAATCGCAAAACACTGTTCGCTTTAAATGTAACACCGATCGCTTGTGCATGTGGCATGCAACTTGTGCGATGCAATGTAAGGCTTGCGACCTGCCATGGTTTGATGAAACTCTCGCCGGCAACGCTAGTCGAATTCTTCTACTACGCTCCGTAGTCATGCGAGGGTGAATAAGTGAATTCGAGATCCCGCTGGCCTCTAGTTGTGTGACGTCTGGGAATCGCAGTTACTAACGGGACCGAGCCCCTGACCGAAAGGATAAAAGGCACGAACTGACGGCGACTTTGTGTTGTGTTGAGGCAGGGTTCGCGGTCGCACTTGGTGCAGAGCTGGAGAGTTACTGTGGCGCTTGGCGCATGTGACTATTGTGGCATGCGACTCATTTTGTACTACTAGCATTACTTCATTATTAACAGAACACTGCTTCTCGTTTGCAGTTTGATTCGCAAAACAATGTACGCATGCGCATATGACATGCAACTTATGAGATGCAATAGAAGGCCTGCGACGAGCTACAGCTTGACGAAATACGTTGTTCATAAACCATTGCTTCTTGCTTGCAAGTTTGAATGGCGTGTTGCCTGCCAAAGAGACACGCTGTGTCAGGGTTCGTCGTCGCCCGCCATCCTGTCGCTGGAGGCGGTGTCGGGCGTAGAGCTGGCAGAATGCTGTGTTTCTGCGAATATAGGGCAGCAGGCGCTTGTCGCATGCGACGTTTTTACTATTGTAGCACGCGACTCATTTTTTTGTTCGTTCTTCATAAACGCCGGTTCTCTCCTGCGAGTTTGAATGTAAAACGCTGATCGATGCAATGTTTGAATGTGAAACGCGATGCAATATACTTGTGACGTACTACACTTTGACGAAACAGTCTTTTTTCTTTGTTCATAAAGCGCTGATTTTCGTTTGCGAGTTTGAATCAGAAAACACTGGTGGCATGCGACGACATACGGCATGGAATGCATGGAATGAAACAGATTGTAGTTCGACGAAACAATCTTGGTTCATTCTTCAGATGACGCTGCTTCTCGTTCGCGAGTTGCCCGTGAAAGGGACGTGCGATGTGCGCCGTGGCAGGAGGCGGAGTCGGGCGCGTAGTTGGCAGAATGTTGTGTTTCTGCGAATATAGGGCAACAGGCGCTTGTCGCATGCGGCGATTGTGACTATTTTGGCACGCGATTAATTTTTTGCGTAGCAGACTTAGTTAGTTCTTCATAAACGATGGCTTTCGTCTCCACGGTTCAATGTAAACCAGTGCTCGCTTGCGTGTGAGACATGCAACTTGCTAACGTTTGACGTAACACTCTCCGGCGACGCTACCCGAATTCGTTTACTACGCTCCGTTTAGTCACGGAGGTTAAGCAAATTCGAGATCACGCGGGTTCGTGGTTGGGTGACCGACTGGGAAGCCCCGTTTACTAACGGCGCCGAGCTCCTGGTCGAAGGGATAAAAAGCACTGACTGTGACGTGACGAGACTTGGCAATGACGATAACGGAGGATTACTCCAAGACAGGCGGCCAACGCCCCCAGAGTCGCGTTGTGTCGACGAAGATACAAGCCAAAACAAAATGTTTGTCCACTGATCATGCCAAAGAGACGTGTGCTGTACTGTGTGGCAGGGTTCGTCGTCGCGCGCCAGGCTGTCGCTGGAGACAGAGTCGGGCGCGTATTTGGCAGAATGTTGTGTTTCTGGGAATATAATGCAGCAGGCGCTTGTCGCATGCGACGTTTGTGACTCTTGTGACACGCGAATCATTTTTTTTGCCTCTCAACCTTGGTTTGTAAAGGCTGACTTTTGTCTGCGGGTTTCAAACAGTGATCGCTTGCGCATATGGCATGCAACTTGTGCGGTGCAATGTAAGGCTTGCAACATGCTACGGTTTGACGAAAGACTCGCCGGCGTCGCTAGCTGAATACGTTTACTAAGCTCCGTTTAGTCACGGAGGTTAAGCGAATTCGAGATCACGCGGGTTCCTGGTTGGGTGACCGACTGGGAATCCTCCGGTTACAAACGGCGCCGAGCCCCTGACCGAAAGGATAAAAGGCACGGACTGACTGCAACTTGACAGTGATGATATCGGAGGTTTACTCCAAGAAAGCGGTCCAGACCCTCAGAAGATGCAGCAAGCCAAAACAAAACGTTTCTTCATTGATCGCGCCAGTGAGACGTGTGGTGTGTGGCAGGGTTCGTCGTCGCGCGCCAGCCTGTCGCTAGAGACAGAGTCGGGCGCGTAGTTGGCAGAATGTTGTGTTTCTGGAAATATAATGCAGCAGGCGCTTGTCGCATGCGACGTTTGTGACTATTTTGGCACGCGATTAATTTTTTGCCTAGCAGCCTTGATTCGTTCTTCATAAACGCTGGCTTTCGTCTGCGCCTTTCAAAGCCAGTGCTCTCTTGCCTGACTGCCAGGCACTGACTGACTACGACTTGACAGTGATGATACCGGAGGATTACTCCAAGACAGGCGGTCCAGACCCTCAGAAGATGCAGCAAGCCAAAACAAAACGTTTGTTCATTGATCGCGCCAATGAGACGTGTGGTGTGTGGCAGGGTTCGTCGTCGCGCGCCAGCCTGTCGCTGGAGGCGGAGTCTGGCGCGGAGCTGGCGGAGCTAGAGGAGGAGTCCGCGGGTGCGGGAGGCGCGGGCGGCGCGGGCGGGGCGCTGCGCGGGCGGCCGCGCTCTGCCGCCTCGGACGCCGCGTCGTCGCTCGCCTCCGCCGCCTCGCTGCCCCACGAGCCGCTCTACGCCTGCGCCGACCCGCTGGGCCTCGGCCGCTCGCACGCCGACCGCCTCGAGGTAAAAGACCTTCCCCCACACCCACCCCACACTTGCTGACTGGGTCGCCCTTGCTCCTCTGCCTCCGGATCGACTCCATCATGCTCTTAAGTTTTGTCGCTTACTCATTATTTTACACCCGAGTTCGGCTGCCTGTTTTCTTCTTTCTATCTTCAATTGCTTACTGTTCCTCTGTCCGCAATCCCTTGAATTTTTCTCTTCACTTCCAGGTGTTTTTTTTAATATTCGTCGTGCCTTAATATTTTTGTCTGTGTCTGACTCTCTCTCTCTCCCTCTAGCCCTATATCTCTTTTTCCTTCTCTCTCTCTCTCTCTCTCTCTTTCTCTCTCTCTCTTTCTCTCTCTCTCTCTCTCTCTCTCGCTCGCTCACCCAGACTCTTATCTCCTAAACTGTGTAATTTTCTCTTTTCTGCTGTCTGCCCTTGTGTTGCTTCTGGGCATGTATCTTCTCTAAGCGCACGTTTAATTGAGCTCTCCTTTAGCTAGTTGGGGGAAGAGTAGAGCCGGGATGTTGGATTGCTAATTTGTGGGGAATACTAGAAAATCAGCCGCCAGAATTGTCCCCCAGACAGCGGATGAATGCGATCTAGCTGTATTGATAGTGTTGCCAAAGAAGGAATAGTGGCCATACAATGTGTGTGCTGCACGATGTGTATGTATGTGTGTGTGTGTGTCTGGGGAGGGGCGAGACGTGGACGAAGCGGCTTGGGTGCGTAGCTGTGCGGCACGGAGGTGGACGACGAGGCGGAGGAGCTGTCGCGGGACCTGCGCGCAGCGGTGGCGCAGCTGCAGCTGTGCACCGGCTCCGGGGCGGCGGGGCCCGGCGCGGCGCCATCGCCCGCGCCCCAGCGCCGCCACCTGCGACACGCCCGTCGGTTGCTCTTGGACGCGCACGACCCGGACCCGCCCGACAGCGACGTGCCGGTCGCCGCCCGCTCTGCGCCGCGACCTCCGCGCCGCGCCTGCGCCCGCCCGCCGCCGTTGTCGGGCCGCCCGCCGCCCGCGCAGCCGCCGCGCCGGCCCGCGCGCCCTCGCCCGTCGCTGCGTCCCGTCCTCCGCTCGCAGTCGCCCGTGAACGGCACCGAACGGATCTGGCTGGCGCCGCTACGCCAACGAGACAATCTGATGTCAACCATGGTACCGATAACATGCTCTTGTGAAGCCTATTAACCGACGGTTCGAATGACCAATATAGATAACAATACTTATATCAATACCAATATCGATAACAATACTTATATATACCATATCGATAAACAAATACGTATATATATACCCGAATACGATAACAATACTTATATCAATACCAATATTCGATAAACATACTTATATCAATACAATATCGATAACAAACTTATATATATACACACCAAATAGTCGTTATACAATACGTGTTATCGATACCAATACCGGATATCGATAAACAATACCGATGATTTATTACCATTATCAATAACGATGTCAGATAACGTACCGATCTTCTGTGTATGCGCAACTTAAAGTGGATGCGAAACTTGAACTGCGCATGTGCATAAGCGTCAATAATGTTGTATCGTTCGCGAGGATGCACAAAAACTTCCGTATTTGATTACTGATTGTAAAAATGAAAAATGTATACGTGTGTGATGTCTTAATTGAATTGAAAACAAGTGTTATTGAAAAATTGTACATCTTTGTTGTGGACCTATTGTTTTCTCATTCCCATGCTTGAATACACGAGCATTTCCCCCTTCCCTGATATGCGTTCAATTTGCGGCAACTTAGACGCCCACTGTTACTAACGATTGATATACCCCATGTCGCCGTCAGCGGCAACTAAAAAACTACAGAATACCAATATCGCATACTTATAGCCATCATTTCTAACAATGCCAATACTTATCGATTAAAACCATCTATATTGATAACATGAAATGAAAAAATGTATACGTATGTTGATACATTAGATTGACTTGAATTATAATACACAATAGTTATGAAAATTGTGTATCTTTGTTATGGATTAATTTTCTCATTCCCAGCTTTGAATTCAAGATGAATGCCCAACTTTCCCGATATGTTTCCAGAATTGGCGCCACTTAGGCACGCCCAATGTTACCAACATGCGTTTACCCTCCCGTTCGCCGTCAGGGCAACTACCAGAACTTTTTCACTTACATCTATTCTTCACTCAAAACGATATTAATCAAAGTATTACGCTCTATTAAGCTGTTCCAGGCTTTTTTTCTGATTTAAATAAACACAGTTTGTAGGCAATAATAAAAAAAAATAGCTCACATCCTACACTAGACAGCAAATTCTTCGACCAACTACGAAACAAAAACTTATTACATCTGCGTTTTAGCAACAACCAGTACTGACGCCACTCTAGCAGCAGGGCTTTACTATATAATATTTATAAAGATGAAAAGGAAAATGTTAATATACTTCCGGTTATAAAAACCATCACATTATATAGACACTTCATTTCTATTCAGTGAAGTATATTAATCGGAAATTCGTAACATTAGTCCCTTCTTTTGACGTAATGTATGCGTAATGAAACTGACTGTAATACCCAAATGATATCTAACACAACTGAACAAACATCACTTAAAAAAATTGAATTTTTTAATAGAAAGTAAGGATACTACAGACCATCGATCTCTCGAAATTTAAACCATAGATGTCAATAACACATCGACCTCAAACCAAATCTCACTAAATATATATCATCTCTTCTT